CACCCAGATTTCTTTCAGGACCAGCCCAGTATTAAGCAGACAGCAAGTTCAGCAAATACTGGTTGAGCTGAAATAGCTATTTTGTCTTTCTAGTGAACAGATCCTGTTTGAATACTTAAGTACAATAATACCCTTGTGGTTTCCTAGGGAAATGGTCCAACATCCACTGGCAAAAGATATGTTGCAGAATTAGCTGGTCTACCAGGCATGCCAAATGTATGATACGACACAGGATGGTTGACTTTTATGAAATGTCATTCCAAAACCAAACTTTGTTGGCACAGTGAAAGGAGGCGTTCTTTTGGATAGAACTGTGTCTTGTACTTTCATTGCTTTCAGAAATGGCCCTTTGTTCCAGATGAGAAATCGCCATTTAAAAGAATTATCATAAGCCTATATAACCTTGGTGTCATCAGAGCTGCAACTGTGCAAGCCAAATTGCCCTTCACACTGCATGATGTGAGGCCCCCCCCCCCCCAAAAAAAAAGAGAGAGAGAGAGAGAGAAAGAGAGAACCACCTGGATTTGTCTGGGCAGTGTTTTTCCGGGCCTGTGTTCTAAGGCAGAGAAAGCACTTAGAAGCGCAGGGTGAGGTCCACGTATTTGCTGGACCCAGGTGAGCTAATCCCAGATTCGTCCCTCGGGCTCTGTTCTGCCAAGGGAATACCAGGAAATGACAGTAATAAAAGGAAGGAAACTTCTTTTCAAATTAACTGATTTTCTCACTGAAAAGAGCTTTCTTTTGGTTCACTGCTTTCAGTGTGCCTCCCTCCCTCTGTTCTGTGGCCCTTCCAAGCCTTTCATTGCCTGCTGACAACCCATTCCCTGGTAGGCAGGGGCAAGGTATTAGAAAGTAAAAACTTCCTTTGGATGCTGTGGTTACGGGGGCAGGAAGTAGAAGGGGAGCTCCCATTTGCAATGGTAATTTTTCTTTCCCTTTCCATCCGGGCAGGCTTCAGAGAACTTTACCAGCTGGCCGGTCCTTCGTTGCCATGGATACCAAGGACATCCCCCAGATTTTACAACAGATCTTCACCTCCACCATGCTGTCCACTGTTTAGGGCAGGCCCGTCATCACCCTGATGACCCCAGGACTTAAAATAAGATAGGAATAAAGAGCCCGCCAAAGAAAAGACAACAGTTGTGACCCTGCGCGTTGCCTGGAGGACTCTGGCACTCCTGGCTCTTCCTGGGCTCGCTCAGGAATCAGAATGCAGGAAAGCAGCCGGAGGAGAGCTTGTACATGGAAATCTACCACCGGGGATGGGTTCTTGGGGAAAGCGAGTTGAGCTGTTTTATAAAAAGGTCAGGAGTCAACAAAGGCAATTTGAGAACTATGGTGCTTGGTTTGTATCCAGAAACCAGAGGGGAAGAGAATTCCTTGCTTTTGCCTTAACACAACGACTGGTCACCTGAGGTAACAGAAGTGATTCTGATGCCATGTTCTGCCATTGAGATAAAAGTCTGTGTAAACTCACCCAACTTGCTCCTGTCCAATAATTAATTTTATTTTCTCCTCCATGATTTTTATAGTATTTAACCTACTGCAAAGCCTCCTAACAGCAGTTATTTTATAAAAGGTTAGATTTTTTCCAATAATTCCATTTTCTTGGCCAAAGCCAAAAGGAATCAAAAGATCCCTGCATTGCTTCCTTTCCCATTTGACTTTTTAGAAGACTCTTTAAATAATGAAGAGCAAACGTCCTATTTCCATGCTGCCATCATGGAATGCTAAAGGCTGTCTTGCCTTGAACTTCCTGTGTCTTCTTGTTCTTCCAGTGCTTCTCACAAGTTTCACATACTTTGGTGTCCAAAACGTAATGCTTGAAATAACAAACGCTTATGGTTTTACTTAAAGCAAAGTAAAAACAAGGCAGTATGTTTGAATTAATGGGAACTGGAGATTTCTTTAGCTGTTAAAAAAAAAAAAACATGCACACACACACAAAAAAACCTTTTTTTCAAGATTCGTTCTTTTTTCTTTCTAGGTGTACCTTATTTCCACCTACCTTAGGCTGACCTTTATTTATCAACAGGCCTGATGTCATTTTGTTTAAAATCAAATGCTACAGCCAGAGTCAGGCTCTGTTCAACCATAAAAGAAGTTCCTCTCCACCAGTGATGCAGGCAAAATGGCAGGGAGCACCAGTGGATGGGTACTTTCTTGTCGCAAGTTGGAAAAATCAGTCTTGTTAATAATATTACCTTATCTGCCCATATAGCATGAAATTGTAGAGGCTCATTTCATTTTAGTCAGTTATAGGAAAGAAAACACCCGTTTGTTTCTCCACCCCAACTCCCTATCAGCTGTCAAAGAAATAAAAACGATCAGATTCCCAATGCAGTCCCGTCCAGTGAGTTCGCATGGCTCGTCTTATTTTCCCTCACAGTCAGGAGGGGCAGATTGGGGCTGGGCTGGCCCCCTTCGTGCTTTCTTCCCACCTCGAAGATGAGCTCTTGCAGATTTTGCTCCTTTTCTTGCAGCCTGACCACGGTTCAGAGAGCTCTCTTCTCTCCCTGGGACTCTCCGTGAACCCATTCAGGCACTCAGAGGAGCATGTGGGGACCGAGGGTAGAAGCCACTGCTGGAGGGACACCTCTCACTGGGCCTTCCTGGGCTGAGCAACAACTTGAACCCCTTGGGGGTGCCCCCTCTGCGAGAGGGCCACAGCCCCAAAATGCTTTGCCCAGAATCCACAAGTCCATAACAGAATGGCCTTTTAACAAATCCTGCCTGTGCCCTAACTACCTGAATTAGCAGAAGCCATTTTTTTAAACATGGGAAGAATCTTCTCATGTAATTCAATTTCCCTTTCCCCACTAGCCAGACATCCTTGCAATTGTCATTTAAAACAAACAAACAAAAAACAACATGTGACTCCTGACTTATTTGTAAAAGGGAAAGATGATGGGGGAGGGGAATAGAGAGAGGAGCTGAGAAGAGTTTAATTTTCACTTCTTGGAATACCTAAGAAGTTTGTGCCTTTATTATTAAATGTACTTAATTATAGGCCACTCCAAGCTGTTCCCAGGCCCTTCTTAGGGCCAAGACATTATAATAAATGCATTGTTTGCCTCAGGGGGGTTCCATTGAAAAGCTTCTGAACCGGCTGGGTCTTGTAGTGCCCGTGTAATGCTGAGAAGGTCCATTGTGACCCGTGAGCGCCGGGAGGAATGAAGGCCATGAATGGCCGCCGTCTAGTGTGTACCCCCTCCCCCCTCACCCCCTCACCCCCGCCCAGAACCTTTTGTGTGCCCCAGCAAGATGACCTCATCACACATGGGGCACCTCCAGCCAGGAGTGGATCCGAGCCGGAGTACTTGAGCCTGTCCCATGTTCAGCATGAATCATTTCATTCTTTCCTGTGAACTGTCAGAGGAGGAGAGATCCATCAATGCCAGCGGGATTTTCTCTGAACAAACCCCAGGGCTTTGAAAGCCATTTAGAAGCAGTTCTCCGTGGACAACATGGTCAGTGTTCCCGATAGGCCAGCTCCAGAGGCCTCAACCCTCCCTCCACCTGGCTCCTTCCTGCACCTGTCAGCTCAGCCAGAATTAAACTCCCCCGAGAACGGAGCAGAGAGGTATGGGACTGGGGGCAATACGAGGGGGGTCCCCTGTGTGTCCTGTTGCCGTTATGGCCCAACAATCGCAATTAGGAGAGAGATTCCACAAATGCTAAGCCAACAACTCCTGCCTGGACAACCTTTTCTCTGGAATTGCACCAAAGAATAGTCACATGTCCCTTTGTATTTAGTAAATTGTGCCTTACTTTTTCATCTTAGGAAATAAAATGTCCACTTCCAGAAAAATTCTTCCAACCAGTAACATATCTGGCTTTTTAAAATGCTTCGATGGAGAGCCTAATCTGCTCCCACTTTCTGGCCAGGGTGTTATCATAAGGGTCTTAACCATTGCCTTTCCTTTCCTTTTCTTTCGCAGATTTGCTGCGGCAAAAGTACTCTAGGTCATGGAAAGGAATTCCAGTGTTTGATCTTGTGGTGGAAGAGTTTATAAACTCCAAGTAGGATTAGTCAGTGGAAAGGAAGTTCTAGATGCTGCTGTGATGTGTGAACTTGGGCTTGTCACTTCTGGGTCTCAGTTGCTTCATCTATTTAAAATGAATTTAAACTTGAAAAGCTGGACCAAATCTAACACTCTAGTCCCTGCTTCTAGATCTCACAGAGCCAGAGTTGACTGTGCCTCACACATCTTACAAGAACCACATCATGTCAGTGTGTTTTTTGCCTCCGGAACCCCACAGAGGATTTGGGCACCAACACCCATTGCCCCAGCAATACAGTGTCCCTGACAGAATATGCTTTCTAAAAGCTATAAAAAACGTCATTCAATTTGGACAAGCAGGGCTTTCCCCCATCAGCTGGACAGATACTTCTGTGGGACAGTCATTCACATTTCTACCCATTGTCTCTTACTTTGCATTTTGCTGCCTTAAAATAAAACTCCTTATCTGCTGATCTGCACAGTGGGATCAAAAAGGGTCAGAAATTGGAAAACTACTGGCTGCCCCGAGCTGACCTTTGTGCCGCAAGCCGAACAATGAGTAATTGTGTGTGTGTGTTGGGGGGGGTGGTTATTGTTAAATCCTGTAAACAAAAGTCTCCGGAGGGGGGAAAAATTGCTTTGCCAGGCAATCCTCTCCAGCTGAAAATGATTTGACACTCTTTTTAGACACGGAGTGCCGTCTGGGGCTGACACCTTCGAACAGACACCGTGTCTGTCCTCGCAGCCACACGTCAGCTTTGGAATGTCAGCGTTACATAATCTCCAAGTCGAGTGGCGCTTGTGGTATTTGGCCACTCAGAGCAAAGGATAACACTGTCCTGAGGTGGTTCGGATCCAGACCGTGGCGGGAACGTCCTGTTCAGATCAAAGAAATCTCATCAGGTGACACATCAACTCTGCCGGGCATCGCCCACCCCCCATGCATGGTCCTCTCCCCCAGGCGGGCGCCAGGCTTACCTCAAGTCTCCTCTCTTCTCACTGGCTTTGTCAAAGAGCTTTGGGGCTGCCCGCTCTTTCCCTGAAAAAGCAATCCGTGTTTGCCGATCAACTCTGACTCTGGAGATGGTGGCTGTAAGCCCAGAAGAGCTTCAGGATAATATCGGGATTTCTTAAAATTCCGGGCAACTCTGAAGCCTTAGAATCAGTGGCCAAGTTTGACCTGGAAAGGGAAGGGGGAGATGTCAGTCCAAACATCCCATAGCAGGTCTGTCTCTTCATGCTGGCCAGAACGGTGCAAGCAAGTAATGAGCCTGTCAGGACTCTGTGTAATTGGTCTCACGATGCCATACGTGAAGCCTTATTAGTTGAAGAAAAAAAAAGTATGTTTACTCAGGACATTAAAGTTGGGTTTTTAAGTGCAATATATTTATATTAATAAATCCTTATGCTAATTTAACAAGACTGAGCATTTCTTCATTCCCACACTAATTAAGACTTTCTTATTTTTAATCATTGGGGCTCCAGGAATGGACTGAGTCTTAGCAAAGCTAGTGGGTCCATTTCCTCTTACCAAATATTTTCTGGCCCATGTAAAATTCAGCCCCGAAAACACTGGCCCAGAAAGGAACCCGTGCAGGCCCAGTGGAAAGCAAGTAACGGCACTGGGGAAGCAGTGTGTTGACCAGCCTTGGCCTTGGTTCCTGGGGGGTTGGGGCGTGGGGTGAGGGGTTTTCCACAGAGCCCAGGGTTGGTGAGGAACCCACGGGCTTCTGCAGCATGCCACCCAGAATGCTCAGATTCCAGGGTATTAGACACAAAAAATAAAGAGGGCATAGGACAAGGGATACCCAGGAAGGTTTGGGGCTTAGTTAACCAATACATGGTCTGGGAAACCTATGCATTTGTTTTGCAGTTGACAAAGAAAGGATTTTTACCTGAAAAGTGTCCTTTGGGGCCTCAGATGTCTTTGAATGACTATTTGCAACACTGATAGACTATGCATGTCCATACAGTGCCAGCTCAAGCACAGAGATCTACGATTCAGCATGCAGGGCCCAAACCACAGAATCTCTTTTCCTCTCTGACTCTCAGTGCGGACTGGAAGAAATGGGAAGGCTCTCTGCAGAGCTGGGAGTTTGTGGCAGTTCCACAAGACGGCCTGAGAGCCGACAGTCAGTCACTTGGCTAGAACACAGCTCCATGCAGCTGGCCTGGCTCCTCGCCCCTAACATCTGAGGTCTATCTTTGGAGCCGCATTTCCCAGAGAGAGGGGCTTCTCTTTTAAAATACAAATAGCCCTGAGAGGCTATCCATCACGCTCGTCTTGGTTTGAATTCCTTCATTCACACACTTTCTTCCAGGCCCCAGCTGAGAGGAAGGTTCCAGACAGGGGCTGTGACCGGGCATGAAGTAGAAGGGAGTGAGGGACTTGCAGCTTGGAGCATCACCCAAGCTGGGGCCCGGCCCTGGGACACAGCATGCAGGCATGAGACAAGGGCGCATGGGTCGGGGGTGGGGGGGCCAGTCTTGCCTGAGGCTACATATGTGGTCTCTCTATCCTCTCGAGAATGCACGGAGAAGGCTTTGTCTGGTGTGGTTGGGCAGTGGCTTGCTTCTCTGTCGTCCTGCTTTTTTGGAGACACCCAGATTTGCACTTGCATTTTGTGCTTCTGCTTAGGGAAGCTCCACCTGGGTTACAGAGGCAGGCACAGTGGCATGCATATCAGGGAGCTGATTCCCTAGCAAGGACAAGGAGCTTGAACTTGGGGCCCCACCCCACAATACCTGGGCCCTGTCTCTGGGGAAGCCAACCAATCAGGGTTTGGTTTTTTTTTGTTTGTTTGTTTGTTTTTTTCATTTTGCAAAGAGAAGTTTTACCCTATGCTATGGGTTTTTCCAAAGAGAATTTACACCCCTGAGAGGCCACAATCCTTCTGGGAAGCCACTCTCTTGCCCTGCAGAAGCAGGGCTGATCCACACCCCATGGGACGTAGGTAGAGCAAGCCATGGGGAGGTTCCAGAGGAAGAGCCGTGGAATTCCCGAGTTCCATCCTGGTGAGGACTGGAATGAGATCAGCGGGAGCCTCTTAAACCCAGAATGTTCCTCCTGTACAATGGGAGTATTGAGGTTACCTCTAGGAAGCATCTATAGAAGTCTGTAGAAGCATCTGTAATTCAGACTTTAGAAAGAAGCTGTTTTTATAACAGTTCCTAAAAACACTCACATATTATTAGCATTAAAAAGTCAAAGACCTTTGAAAAATGAGTGTGGCTTCTTAAAAAAATTTCTTTGTTTCTCTTTGAGTCGGTTCTCTTTTCTCCCTTTCCAAAGAGAACCAGTTTTGGGGTTTTTTTAATTAAGGTATAATGGACATATGACATTATATTAGTTTCAGGTGTATGACATACTGATTCAATATATGTAGATCTTGTGAAATGGTCGCCACAGTACAGCTCATTCCCATCTGTCATCGCACATTAAAAAGAACCAGCTTTGCGTTTCCTGAGGCTGCTGTTGGCCCCCTCCCTTCATGACTTGCCATTCCCCAGCTGCTTATAAAAACCATGACATCAGCTTCTCTCTGAAAACCACATCAGCTCCGCCCCGTGACGGTCTCACTGGTCCTGTCACTTGAGCATCATTAAATCAGACTCTCCCAACAAGGTACAATTGCAAAGCCACACAGCTGGCATCGTGAGAATAGCACACAGTCACATGAGCCAAGGGATGAGCAGAAGACAGAGAGAAGCCGGCGTCTGTGATGAGAAGGCCTCCCTGGTTTCCATAGTCAGATGCACCTGAGAACCTCCAAACTCCCCTCCGCGTGGTGCCGGCTGCAGAGTCAGGGCGGAAGCCTGGCGGCCCCTGCTCACAAGCCCCGTGACTTCAGGCGCGCTTCCGGCCTCTCAGATGGCTGTCTTCTCGCCTCTGAGATGAGGATAATCACCTGATATCTCAGGGTTTAGGAAGACTGAAATCAAATAAGGAAGGCACCTCATAAGCAGAAAGTGCCAGCCAGTTCAGGCGTGTCCCCAAGACGGAAGTGACCCCTTGGGAGGTGAGGGACTCTGACCAATTTTGGCTGGTGGTTAGGACGTCCTTTGGCCTGGTCAGACACCTCAGAATGGATGCAGAGCTCAGGGCAGCCTCTCCATAGGGTGAATGAACTGGGGACCAAAGAAAGGAAGACACTGGCTGAGGGGTGAGGTTCCTGGGGCAGGCGACGGGAGGCCACTCAGCTCCAGGGCTTTCATCCCTCCAGGACAGACAGAGCCCGAGCGCTCTATTTGCGGACATGGCTGCAGTTTGTCCCACGGTCAGAACCTCATTTCTCAGGCTTTACTACGGCCTGTCTTGGGTGAGGGACAATGGCCTTTCTTAGGAGTGGCCCAAGCCATGTGTCCTGCAACCACGGCTTTCCCTGCAGAAGGCTGTTAGCGCCAGAACTGCTGTCAAAGTCAAGACTATAAGCAGAGTCCATCCGGATGTCTCCCCGGCCTGTGCCCCTTCCTCGAACCTGGGGAGAACGCCTGACTCCGCTAAGCCTTCAGAGAGCCCTTGACAGAATTGGTGCCTTTAAACTGGTCCCTTCTGGGAGGGTGACTGAGGAGTCTTGGAAAGCTAAGCCTGAGCCGCCATGTTCTGTCATATGCAGGGAGAATAATAAAAATATTATCATTATTATTATTATAACACAAAATAATACCAGCTGTTACCTCACATTTCCCACATGCCAGGCATTTCTAAGCACTTTGCCTAAACAAACTCATTAAGTCCTCACAACGACTTCATGGGACTCATCCTATTCCCATTTTATTTCAAAAGCAAAGACCACTGGTCTACCCTGAGAGAGAAAAGAAGAGGCCAACTGGCTGACTGAGGGAGAGGGGAGCGCCTCGGGCACCGTGAAGATCAGTGGGAGTAGCTCTGGGCGCTCAGCACGCCATCCCAGCACTGCTTCCATATCTCCCTTCTTCAGTGCGGGCAAGGGCAGGCTTCCAGGCTTGCCCGTCTTTAGCCAGGCCCTGGGAAGGGGCTCGATAAACTGTTGTCGAATGAATAGTTGTGGGATGCGGAGGCTCCCTGGTCCTGGGAAGCAGAACTTACACTGGCTCTCAAGGATGAGCAAGGTTCTGTAAGCCAAGAGCGCTGGTCAGGGAGTCCTGGGGGAAGGTAGGGGTAAGAGTGATTTGAGCAAAAGCCTGAGTTCAGAATGTACCAAGGTGAGGTGGCAGGCCTGACAGGATTGTTCTCCCATCTTTGGCTGCCACTGACCAGCCAGGAATTTCTAAGTGAGGCACCAAAAACAGCCTCTCCTCCAAGGCTCCAGGGTGGTCTTCTGGGCTGTCCGGCTGCTGACTCCAGCCCTGACTGGCCAAGGTGAGGTGGCAGGTCAGTGGGCCATCCAGACCCTCCTGGAGCCCAGAGTAATGACAGCTCCACAGAGCAAGCCTCATTACATGGAGCGACTTCATGATGTGGCTGTTTTGTTTTGCTTTGCCTTTTTTTTTTTTTTTTTTCTTTGAAGATGAGTGGAGAACCTTCTTTTACCCAAGATTACAAGTTGGGCTGGTGATGAAAGGTCTGTGCCATGCAGAAGGAGGCCTCAGGGAGGAGCTTGTACATTTGCAAGCCCTTTTGTTGAAAATGGCTTGCTCTGTGGGAAAGGAAAAAGGAAAGGGAAGGGAAGGGAAGGGAAAGAGAGAAGGAAGGAAGCCAGGAAGGGAGAAAGGGAGGAATGCAGGAAGGAAGAAAGGATGGGAGAAAAAGAAAGAAGAAAAGAAAAAGAAATTAGCAGGAGGATCAGAATCATTTCTACCTTTGTGAGGTTGCCTGGGACCCCTGGCTGATCACCACGACTGCCAAGCACTTCAACTCTACATACAACCCTCCTTAGACTCTGCCTCCCTAAACTCCTAAATCTCTAGAAGACTTAAAAAAAAATTCAGCTGGCCCATGTTCCCAAACCCAGACAAAACCGCTTCAGCGGGTAGCTTTGCAAAGAGCCTCGCACAGCATGGATTGGTCAAACTGGATGCCTGGCTGGCTGGCTGGCTGGCTGAATGAGGTGGCGGATGGGTTGAAGAGGAGAAATGTTACCTATTTAAAATATGTCAAGGAGCGGCACCTGGGTGGCTCAGTGGGTTAAACTCCTGCCTTTGGCTCAGGTCATGATCCCAGGGACCTGGGATCCAGCCCCACATTGGGCTCCCTGCTTC